ATATATATATATATATATATATATATATATATATATATATATATATATATATATATATATATATATATGCACGTCACTTGACAGTTGTGTATGCTTGAACCATGACATGAGACAGGAATATGATAATTTTATATATAGCATAGAAATTATCTCCATGAGATAATTAAGAATGATTCATAAGTTCTTGTTGCATACATAATTTTCATGATGCATTGACCTATGTTTATTTATGAGTATTCATGACATAAAATTTTTAGCATAAATGATTGAACATGTTTCATGAGTGTTGAAGATTGTTTTCACGATTTTGAGATATTTGAGAGATTCCTATTTAGCATGATTGTTGAATTGTCTTATTTATTTTCTTTTTGATATTTAAAAATCAAGAGATCAAGTTGGGAATGATGACCTAGCACCAATAGTTATAATGTTTCAAGGAGTTTTTAATTTATTTTTGGAGAGATAATTTAAATTATGTTGTAATACTAATAAGCATATAAGTGACTGAGAAAATACGAAAAAAAACTCTGTAGACATAGACTTTTAAGGAAAAGCTTATACATGGTCTGAATTTTCTCAGTGTAAGGATAAGTCATATTAGGGCATAACATAGTTAAGTTGGATTGTGACATATGCATCAAACAAGATGAAATATCATGTAACTTTTAGAATTTATATAGACACTTCATGCACCTCCAAATGCTACCAGCACATATTTTGCAAGCAGGGAAAAGAAATTAAAAGGCATACATGAATGTTACCTGAGCCTTTGATGGACTATGTTGAATCAATTTTTTTGAGACCTTGACCGTGGATTGCTGACTTGCCAGGTCAATGAGAATGCTATCCAGGCACCACAAAATAAATTCACACAAAGCTTCAGGAGATTTCAATGCGATCCAATCAACTGAAGTCTTGTAAACAGATTCAGATATATGGCACACAGGAATCTGTTCCAAATCGATAAAAGTGAATTAGAATTTTACCAATGCACTAGGAAGAAATGCATAACACACGATATAACACATCTCAAAACAGTTATAGCAGTAGATGCAAGCAATATGGTTTGATAAGTTAGCATTAGCAATCTTAGAATGTAATGTCTTAAGATATTGATCCACAACCGTGGAACAGCATGTATGAAAAATTTTCTGTGACAACCATCTTAACAAAAACATGAGCAGGAGAATATTTCATTGAAGTTGGATTGCCGAACAACCTACTACACAGCACAACAACAAATTTTAAACAGAAAACACAGATTAATTTGAAATTTCTACTTACGGTATGTTTTAGCAAGAAAGGAATATGAGGGAGAAGAGACCCCAGATTTAAGGTAGAAACAAGAAAATTTAAAAAAAAAGAAGCATATTAAGAACTAAGTTCTAAGCTCTTACTAATAATGATAATAAAACACTAAAATGAATGCTTGACTAACATGGGAATACCAAATGCTTTCATCAGGTTTTCAATAATCAACATTATCTTTCAGTAAATAGTATATTTATATCTTTTATCAAGTTTGCCGAAGCAGTTTATATGTGGCAGGATATACATGAAAAATTATGTCAAGTAGCAAGCAGAGGACTTTCAAACAGATGCATGGTATGCAGACGTCATAATAAGCTATTGAAAACAGTCTCCACTTGGTAATAGGAGACAATCGCTTATCTTTCATACACACTCAAGTGGATAAGCCAAGTGCTTATCTTTCATACACATTGACTTTTGATGTAATTGGAAAGTTCTCCAGCTATTTGACTCATTGGTTAATAAAGGACTTTCTTTGAACGGTTGGAAAATTCAAGGTCAAGCATGGAGTTCACTAGGTAAGGTTTCCAAAGAGCGATAGCCAAAAGTGAAAAGCAGCATTCTGAAACATTAGCCATGACCTTTGAGAAATACATGTCTTTGTGCATACAATACAATGGATTCTATGAAAAGATGCTCACGGATAAAAGTATAATCCAAACCGTCCTATCACTAGCCACAAATCAACGTGGAACAATTTAATATCAAGAAAGAAAAATAAAATATAACAATATAAAATTGGAAGCTAGGAAAATTTAGAATATTTTCAAGAAATAAAAGACAGCGTTCTGACTGAATTTAATAGTCCGTCATCATTGTATAACCAAATAAATTATGCTTGCATGTGCATATAAGCAAGAAAGTTCGATCATCATTGCCAAACTGACAGCTTTCTCAATTGATCATTCACATTTCATGTTAAGTACATCAAAGACGATTTCCAAATGACCAAATAAATTAAGATTTTCCAGACTTCCATAAAGGAAAGAAGGAAAATAAACAAGAATCAGGAAATGGCAGTATGATTTTCTTGAAAAGGAGAGATCGAGGGAAGAAAGTTCACCAAACAGAGGCAGAACAAACTTACATCAGCGATCTTAGCAACGGGTGATTCCTTGAACATCTTAGCCCATGGGAATTGTGAAGCGCTAACCGAGGCAAAGGAACGTGCGAAGAAATCTGCAAATCTCATGAGTTGAATATCCTGTTGAGATTCGTATGTGGCCTGAAAAGATAAGAAAAGGTGATCAAAGAATCTTTGTGGCATACAAAACCCATTTAAAGGTCTGATCATTCAAACATTTGATCTTATAATTCATATTTGTATACAATCTTTAAACCACACAACACAAACAGATCCAATCCTCACCGAGATTTCGACAAGAAATGTAGCGAGATCGGCGGCATCGATCTTGGCGGCGGCTTCCGCCACAGTGACCTTGGGCTTCTTGGGCTTCTTCTGCTTCTCCTTCGTCGTTGCCTGCCCCGAGTTCGCTTGGACTCCGCGCGCGACCTCCGCCCCACTGTCGTCGTCCTCTTCGTCCGAGGCAGCCATCGCGGGCCTGGATTTGGCATCACCGGCTTCGGCAAACTCCGCCGCCGCAGCGGCGGACTCGATGGCGCGTCGCCGCTCGCGGGCCTTCTGCTCGAGGGAGTCAAAGACGTGGGAGCGATCGGCGGGGTGGGGGAGACCGCTGGGGCGGTTTCGATCGGGATCGGCAGGCGGCTGGGGCCTACGCTGGCGCTTGGTGTAGGTGACCTTCTGCCAGCCGTGGTGAGGATCGGCAGCGGGGGCGGCGCCGCCGCCGACGACCGAGGGATCGAAGGTTTCTTCCATGGAGGGGAGGGGAGGGGAGGGGAGGAGAGGAGAGGCGAGAAACACGAGGGGGCCGTTCACTTCTTAGAGAGAGAGAGAGAGAGAGTGTGTGTGTGTGTGTAAAGGAGGGCTTCCTTTTTCGGCCGGGTGTCTAATTTCGGATTGGTGGTGGAATAAGGTCACGAAGAAGTACCTTATTAACGGTGAGACCATTCGTTCAACGTCCACGTGGTTTTGTATGCTGACCGTCATTTCCATTGGTGCCACCAACCTGTAAAAAGGGGCACCGAAGGAAGCTTATTTACATACGAACCATCCATTTCACGCCCTTTCTCGGTGTTCTTTATTTGGATATGGATAATTAGCATCAGCTATTTCGTTGGTGTGCGAGGAAGGCGAGAGGTGAGGTTGCTGGGAAACCGGTGAGTAGGGGGTGATGGAGATGTCGCAGTCTTCTGCACGGAAGTTTACTTTCTTAGATCTAATTAATTGTACACGGAAAGCTACAACGCTTTGGATAATGTTGATTCGATGTCTCGTCAAAATAGTGACTGTGATGTGCATCAGCTTATAAACAAAAAGAAAAAAACTCATATAATCTCTCATCTTTGAGATTCCTATTAACTAAACTCCTAATATATTTTAATATCCTTTCATAAATTAAACTTTTAAAAAATAATATGAAAAACCTTGAAACTTGGTGCAATCTCTTTGGATGTTATTATTGTATATAGTATTTTCTATAATCTTTAAATTTCAATCTATAATAGTCATCCATATACCGACTCGATATGTCTTATTTGTCTTAATCAATTATAAAACTCTGATTTATTTAAAATCAGATTTCTTGAATCATTCTTCAAATATGAAATCAATGTGATCACTATAATCATATATACACTAACTTCTTTTGTCATAAAATATTTATAAGCCTTTACACCCTTTTTTTGAATCTTGAATACTAATAATGATCTTGAAGGTAAAACCACTTTTATGCTTCTAATGAGTACAAAATCAATTACTCTAATAAAATTAATACTATCCACGATCATGATATGAATCTTTATCTCAATTAGAATATTATTGGGGGAATCTATCATATCTAATGATATCTCTTTGTTTTTTTTTTCATTAAAAGATCTTCAGTTTCTTTTTGATTTATTTT